ATTTCAAACAATCAATCAGAAAGCATAAAATTTGAATTATAAATGAACGTTTTAGTTCTAATTTACTGCTTCCATTTATAGGGGTAGCATTTCAATAGTAGATACGATAGGGTGAATTGTTAAGCAGATTTGTCGAAATTACCCCGAGTACAAGTTTTTGGCAAACTCGGAAAGAAAAGGAAAAAGTTGTACATAATACAAGTTTTAAATGCCACAAAAATTAAACGCCAAGACTGGAGCGATCATAGACAAAAACAATGGATGACTAACAGCCCTGACCTAAGATAAAGTTATTATGATTTGTTATACGAATAAGGTTAGTTTATGAATAAGTAATTGCCCCATACAATCAAAATTAAACTAATATTTAGGTTTTCGTCATTTCTACATTTTCCCCTGATAACCTCGAATAGAGTTTCATGTATAATAAATTTTTTTCTTAGAAAAAAAGGAGAATTTTTTTATTGTAATTTAAAATTGTCATTTGAACAATTGAGCTTGTTAGAATGAAATAAAAAAAATGTTTTCAAGGGGTTTCATAATTGATTCATATATGTGGTAACGAAAAAAAAAATTAAACCCATTGTTCTAAAAACGGATTCTTTTAAGACTGTTTTTCGAACCAAATCAAAGCTGACTGGACATTTAAAAAAAATAAATTTGTTTGAGGTATTTAAAATTATCACCTACCAAAATATATGAGGTATTTCGCAAAGGGTTTTGAGCGGAAGTAATAATTTGTGCTTAATGCAAAAAGAAACAATTTTTCTTCTGAATGAAATTATTCGAGCAGAACTAATTTGATTTGAAGATGGGTGCTTAATATGGAAGCATTTTCTTTTAAATCACTCAATTAAAAAAAGAGTAGGAAGGCTGATGACCAGAAAATAAAATTTTGTCAAAATAGCACAAAAATAGAAAGAAAAAAACTCAAGTGCTGATTTAATTATCGGAAAATTTACATCAGACAAAAACGCTCGGAAGAAAACTTGTCTGAAACTTTATCAGAATAACTATAGGCCAAACTGATTTTAGAGCTAAACAAAGCTTGAAAATGGTTTAGTTTCCTTAGTTTGGTTCAAGTAAATTTGTTTTTATTTAGTGAGTCATCTTTACCATAAAAAACTAAACCTTGGTTGACTAAAACTGCCAAGTTTTTGGAGTTACATTTTGAAACCAAATTATATTTCAAGAAATTGCATAATATCAATTACATTAAAATACATAAATGTCTGATAGCGACGAAATAACAAGGTTGAACAAATACTCCAATTGATTTTGTTAGACAACATGTTAAACTGAAAAAAGTCCATGTTTCGATTAAGTGGGGCATGAAAATTGCCAATGTAAATAATATTTTGGCTTCATATTTTGTTCCGGCCAGCAAAATTTTTTAAAAAAAATTGTTCATTTGAAACTTGTCTAGTCTCAGTTTGAGCTAAAACGATAAACTCAATTGTTTAACTTTTTTTGGTGGATGAAGTTGAGTCTCACTTTAGCCTAATTGATTAAGAATACGTTTAGGAAAAAAAACAAAATGGCTTGGCTAAGATACTCCTCAAAAAGGGGTTAATTAGCACGAACCCAATCCTTTTCTGTCTTTCTTTCTTTCTTCTTTTCTTTTTTCTTTTTTTTAAATCTTTTTCTTTTCTTTTTTTCTTTCATTCCGTGTTTCTCGAAATTTTATCTTCCAAATTGAAATGACCTGTAAGAAATAAAGACAAGAAATAAAAGATTCAAGACCCATGATTCGACTCCATTGAATTTTATGCGACCCTGCTCGACTAATGATTTGACAATTTTTGACCCATATTCTGTATTTGTTTGAGCGAAGCCTTAACTCAATGCCTCATGCTGGGTCAAAATCGGATATTGTTTATCATATTATAGTCAGTATTTATACAAAACTACAGTTTGATTGATTACAATAGATTTTGATCGTAGAGTTTCTTATGTCACTATATTCCATTATAATCAATTGTAACTGATTTTTTTTGAGATGTTAATGATTAAAATTACAATTTTTCTCAAAAATTGTCTCGTTTATTGTTTAGTGCAGTTGCTAAGTATTACATTTTTCAATATTTTACATTCCACATTTTATAGTTTCTTAAAGATTTTCTACATTTATTTTTTTTCAATTCTCAATTCATGGCAGTTTAACATTATAGTTTTTTTTGCCAAAATTGCTATTTTTTTTGTTGCTGCAAAAGACATGGCATAAAACTTCTTACAAAACTTGCAAAATTTCTGCAATTTAATCAATTGAGTTCCAAAAAGAAAATGGATTATTTTAAGTTATAATGGATTGACTTGACAAAATAACCAATTTCGGTGGCAAAATTAATAAATTTTAATCGGTTATAATAAATTATAAAAGACTTCGTTTTCAAAACATGATTATAATGGATTTTCTTGACAAAAATAATCGTTTTTAGTGCCAAAAAGTAACGAATTAAAATCGATCATAATGGATTATATGAAAAAAGTCGACAAACTTCAAATCAAAAACTTCACTTCTGAATTTATCTCCCACACTTTGCAAGCCTACTCCTTGGTCTGCAAAGCCTCAAAAAATCAAGTTTTGGTCTTGACATTCTGGAATTACCGAAGTTTGGTCGCGATAGTTTAATAATAAAACCACAACTTAGGCCCCTGAACAGGGCTTGGCTATAGATGCAATTAGTTTAACTCGACAAATGCAGTCAAGTCTGGTACTCATCCTAGGTAATTATAAGTCCAGCGTAGCATTTCGAGAGTTAACTGAGATTCATGATTTCAAAAACAAGTTTCATAGACTGTCGGATATGCCCAAAGCTTCGAAGAATAAATTTTTTGTCGTTGATTAGGTTTCTCGCCGTTCATGGCGGCCTCTCTTAGTTTTCGACAAAAACAGGCTATGGACAAGCTTTTCAATGCCGTTTTCGTGCTTAAAGAGACTCAAAAATTGATTTTGATGCAAGGTGATGCCTCATAACTAGAACTAAATCATGGTACTTGGACACTCATACATAACTGTTGAATCACGATACGTAAAATTTGAAGGGAAGAAGCAAAATGAATGTCATGTGATCACGCAAGTCAAGTTTATTGTCCAGTGTGTCGATAGTGAATGATTCGATATTGCATCATAGTGCAACAATTTTCCTTAACATATCAAAATGTCAAAAATTTTTATTATACTTAAAGTTATTATAAAAATATATTATAATCAATCATTATTTAAATTTTGTACTTTCACGGGTAGACCCTCAGTAGGTAATTGTTTCGCTCTTTGTCTATCCTTTCCTTAGTCATTGTGTTTCTTATAAAAATGTTTGATGAAATTGTATAAAACATGATTTTGGGAAAAACAATTTTCTTTCTTTTTTCTTTCTTTCGTTTTTCAGTGTGCATGTTGATGGTGGAAGTTTATTGTCAAGTGTGTTCAAACTTAAAAGATGGAGAGCTTCAAGAGATTCAATCGATTGCACCAGCGAACTGAAAACACCAAGTTTTGCCTAAGCTTGCACTTCTTTGTGGTTTGAGCTCGTTCGATTTTTTTTCAGTGTGTTTTTCAACCTAAAACTAACTAGTAGTACATAGCATTAATGAATATCAGCGAAAAAAAAACTTGCTTTTTTCGCTGTTTTGTTGTAAGTAGCACACTGAAAAAATTCGATTGAAGCTTAGATGAAAATTCGTTTTTGTCCTCGTTTTGCTAGTCTCGCTACAAGAAAGAAGAAAGAAGAAGATTGAAAAAGGAAGCGGCACCTCTTCCAAGATTTTGTTTGCGAATTGCCGTAGTTGAAAACCTTTTGAACGAACTCAGCTGAAAACAGCACATTAGAAACTCTTAATTAAAAAGATATTTAGCTTTAAGCAAAAAAATATTTTGGTTTCATGCTGCCTCGGGCTTCCTTGTTTTTTTTTCTAAGTTGATGTTTAGAACGCCTGCATTGGCGGTCTTGAATGGAAAAGCTTTGTTGCTTCCAGCCACCTTGCAAGCTGATTAATGTATGTGTAACAACTTTGCAGAATTTGATCAATAATAAAAAACCAATAACGAAGCAATGAAATCCAATTTTGGTGGCGTCATATATTAAGTCTGCTCCTGACCCATTTGTCTTGTTTTAGTAACAGTTTATACTCTTTCAGGTCTTTCTTTTCAATGTTTAAACACATTGCTACGATGGCACATCAATCAAGTTGGCTTTAAAAATGTTTGCTGAAATTCATTCATGTTGGCTCCAAAACATTTTGGCTCAAGCAACAAATGGAGCCAATTGCCAATTACCCGAAAACATCAAAACTTGCTCAATTTTTTTATATTACATGGACAAAACCGCGTCTATCCATAGAGAGCTGAAAAGACAAAACCATGCTTATCCGCAAAGATCTGAACTGCTCGTATGTTGGTCCTTTCTCCAGAGGCCAAAAGGTCTTAAATAGACTTAACTTTTAATCCTAGTAAAGAATATCCTGTAACTGCTCACCTCTGAAGGCCTGTCAATGGGTTTGTTTTAAAAATTGTGAATTTTGGGAACAGAGCTTTAAGATACCTGACAGCCTTCAATGTGCCAGAACAGACATCATATAAATGACACATCGAGAATTTGATGTAAGAATTGTCGACAGGCTGAAAAAATAAAACAGTTCTCCTCAAGTTCAGGTTTTTATAGGCTTGCCCCACATGCCCCAAAATTTGATTACCTTATTTGACAAACAATCGACACTTTTCAAGCACACCCTACAAAAATTTCAAATGCCCCGAAAATTCATTAAGATATTTGACAAAAAATGGAAGCTTTTCAAGCACATTCTTAAAAAAACTAAATTTTTTTTGCAAACAAGTTTTTCGAAAATTTTTCCTGAACCTTTTACAGTTTTCTGCAGAATCATTTTTTTTTGAAGTTGTTTGAAGCTTTAAGAATTAGTTTTGACTACTTGGAACATTCAGTTAAGGCATGCGCCTTTCTTTCTGGCCAAAGTTCAGTTTAATGTGAATGGGCTGAAATGGAGTTGACTTATGATGATAAAAGTAGATTAATTTAACTGGTACAGCAGTATAAAACACATGGTTACAACGGTGACATAAGCCTTGTCGTTTTCAATTCCACCTTATTACACGCATAAAGTAAGTATTCAATCGGAGTATTTTACCGCCGCTGATTTATTTATTAGTCTAGGCCACCAAATGAGCGAAGTATCTTAAGCCCAAACAGAACTCACCCCGGGACTCAAACGCTCCGCCGCTTCTAAAACAAATAAACAACCCCCAGTCTGCTTTTGAAGATCAAACTTACACCGTACTTTAGTATATTCCAAACTTAGTTCTTCCATTAACAGCCAGTTAAACATTACCTCCATCGTTAATTGATATTTTATCTTTTAAGTATTTATAAAAACGGATTTAACGCTTATTGATACAATATTGGATTAAAATTCGACAATGGGCTCTTTTTAGTGAATAAAGACCTCCTTGATGGACCTCTTAGTCTTTTGAATGTTTCTTTGTGCTTGTAGGCTGACCTTCTTATGATCCCTTTATTTTCTTGTCATTTGAGCCAGGGATGATTTATTGCAATCACAGTTTGAAACTGAAGCCAGTCCTGCAATTCACTGATTGACCGCCATCAAAATTGTATCCATTTCTTTATTTTGGATCAAATTCAACGGCAGCCTTAAAGTATATCTTTATAACCAAAAAAGGAAACTTTTTCATTAAAAAAACCACACCAGAAGGGTGGTGCTATTTGAAAATTTTAATTGACAACAAAGGGTTCCCAAATGTTCCCATGAGCTTATTTAGGAAGTAATTTACATTGTTGTATTGACAAACAATTCAGCTATTTTACCTCAAAATCATATTCAAACAAATATAAAAAATGTTTTCCGGTGGCTTCAAATAGAAAAGTTTGACCTGCTGCTGCAGACATATTGGGACTTCGTATCTTTTTTTTGTTCCTCAAATTTAAATCCATACCGACTGTTAATTTTACCGGAAAAATTTTTATATTCAAGTTGATTCTTATCCGAATTTTGCAGCTTCATGTACCACAGAAAACTGTTTTTATTGTTTTCAGGTTTAATTTACGACACATAATTTTTAGATAATTTTATTCCTTAGCTTCCAATTTTTAGCTATTTTAAAATCACCTATTCCCGAAGCTCACAATAGGCTGTCAAGCAAAATATTAAGTGAAATTATTTAGGTCAACTGTCTAACCTTTTTATTATCACAATGAGAAACAGGCTATCTCTCATTTACTACTTATTTGTCTTCGCTATTTTACTTCAAATAACTGTTTCCTTACCATCCGAAAAGGCAAAGCCAAACCCATCAACAGGCTGTGTGTACAAACATCTACCCGATGGTATGATGACAGACAAACTTACCAAGCATACCATCCTAATAGACGACCCTAGATTAAAATCTGTAGTGACCAGGCACTTCTACATTCGAGTTCCAGGCACCAACCAAGATCCTTATAAAAGAGATTCAAATCATGAGCGGGCTTTGACGTTTTACTTCCATGGATACCAGGGTAATGCTTTGGATGTGGCAACCAAATACGAGTACAATTTGATGGGTGAGTTGATGTTTTGATTAAACGTGTACGTTGATTCTTCTAAATATCTTTTCAGAATTAGAATTACAGCTACCAAACTTGGCACCCTACAAACTTTTTTTGAGGTACCTGAGATAGCTCAAAAATAATAATCGACGGCATAAATAATTTCCAGTTTGCGAAAAAGGTCGTAGCACGAAATAAAAAGAAATTTATTAAAATATAGTAAAGCTCTATCTAAACTTAGCTTAAAAAAATAAGAAGTAAAGAATAGCGTTCAATTGAAATGTGTGCTATTTTTAAGTCAGACACAATAACACTGAAGCTTGCTCACTCCGAAGGCGGTCTTTAGCGGTAAGCAGGGTCTTATAAGACCAGTAAAATAAATAAGTTTATGAAGTGAAAACAATCACAACATTTCCCCTAACTAGGAAAAATATAAACTAAGCACATACAAAATGTGTGATTTTTTTCTCGTTCTCAGAACGCAAAAAAATTATAAAAATCATAATTAACTATAATACTCAGAAGTAGAAATGTATTCTCGAAAGCCAGAATCTGAATTTTATGAAATCAATGAACAATTTTAATTTGCAAAATTTTAACATTACCATTTAATTTAGTTAATGGATTTATTTGCTTAGATCCGAAAACTTGTATGAGGTGCCTGAAATAATGTAAAACCATTACTGAGGGATTACAAAGCGCTAATTGTTGTATAGCGAGGACAAATTTAATATTTAAAACACAAATGAGGTTTATGCGAATAATCCGACGGATTATCATTTTTTGGTTACAATCGTAAATGTTTGTGTATTAACAAACTGCACCAATGGTAAGTATCTTAAACTAAAATTTAAGCTTCTCTTTTGGTTTGGATGTGAAAAAAACCCAAACTAAAATTATAACAATGACAAATCAGGTAGAAAGATAGAGTTTTAAAGAGTTTTATTTTTTTTTGAGATGGGTCAATTCCTTTCAGAATTTTATTCGCCTTGTCTAAGTAGTTCTGAATTGATGTCTGAATCATCTGAATTTTCTACAACGAAGGCAGTAAGGAGTACGTAGCTCCTGTACTTCTTCCTCGATAAACGTTCTCGATTCGGGAATCACTTCCGTCGAAATTTGTGAGGTTGTGGGGCTAGGCTGTTTGACTGACTGTGCAACCAAGATTTCCCTGCAGTCCCTCTCTTTTTTGTTCTGACCGTGACCTTGCTGAATGTGAATTGATTATCTGCTGTTCCCGTAGCCTATTCGCCATTAATATATGTATATAACTATTCACCATAAAATTTTGATGGTCTAACATTTCGTCTTGGTCTAGAAGGAATACGGTTATTATGTTCTGGTGACTCTGCCACTTCGTACACCAAGATTTTGTCTGCAGAGTCGTCGTCCAACTCCAGTACCACCAGTTCTGTAGTTAATTCTTCATTGGTTTGTTAAACATCCGGCGTAGAATCGTAGGAGTCGAACGCTGAAGGCAGTTCAGTCAGTTCTGGGGATCCGAGTTCAGTATTGCGTTGAGTATGTGCCGGTATTATGCTTATCGGGCATTCGGTTCATGGTCCCTGTGAGCTCCAATCTAAACCTACATATTCTGGTTTAATGTGGTTATCCGATGGAGTTCGTTTGTTGTTAGGGCGTGATAAATGAAAACTAGAGTCACTATTGAACCTTTGCCTGCCTACATTTCTACAAGGAAAACCTCCTACGGTCCATTCCCAATCGCTAAGGTCAGAAGTTTCAAAAGGTAAAATGAACGATTTGACTTCAGTTAAATAACCTGGGAAAAATTTCGATTTAAAACAATTCGAAAGGAATACCCAAAATTATGGGGTTATAAAGTGAAAGTCCTTTCTCTTCGGGATTACAAATTGTTTGTCTATAGGAGTTTCCAGATATCCACCCTCCACTCTGCCATCAGAAGCACAGTTGTGTGCCCTATTCTTTGACATAATTAATTTTCCGTTGTCTAAAAAGCCCTTACCGTTTTAACTGATCAAGGTCTTCCAGAGAATGTTTGGTGTTCTGTTGAAGTGTTTTTCAAATGGTGTACACTATTTTCGATTGTTTTGTGCTCCGTAAAATCTAAACGATTTATGAAACCGAGTCGATAAGTGAAGCTTTGGGAAGTTTTGGAGACAAATTTTGTAAAAGTATTTGTAAATTTTTCCACTAATCTGTCGGAAAGGTGGTCAGCTACAGTACAAAACCTAATTTTTATATGATTTGAATCTCAAAATGTTTTAGAAATGGTCCAGGTAAAACACGAGGCGTGGTCGATCCGAAATGAATTCGGGATTCGGTGAAGCTGAGCAGATTAGGTAAGAAAATCAATCACTGTTTTTGGCGGAAGTACTTGAGGCAACTTTCATTGATGAAAATTTAGAGAACCTGTCAATATATAGCAGGATATGTTTACAATGACCCCACGATAGATCTGAATTCCCTGCAAAGTCTAAATTAATCTCATTCTCTTTTACAAAATTAAGGTCTCGAAAATGGTTTAAAAAAAGTCTTTCTGGAATTAAGGGTTTGAGATTTTCTCATGTTTTAATACAACCTGGGAAATTCTTCCCGTGGAAAGATATCATCCTATTGATATGTGGCCACCAAACATATTCCGAAAGCAATTTCATCCGGAATTGGCTGGGATAGGTTTTGTGGAGAAGTTTTATGGCAGCTGTTCTTAGGACAAAGGGTAAACATAACTCGTTGTCCCTGTAGAGTAATACGTTAGCAGTATAAAGGTTTTTGTAAAACTGATTGAAATAAATGCCTGATTTAGTGATTTAATATTCTCTTTTCTCTAGAGCTCTAACCATGGAATATAAAATGCTATCTTTTTCAATAAGCCAAGTAATAAGTATACTATTAAAGAAGCTATTCATTTCCATTGGTTTTCTGGCATTTTTAGAGAATCCCGGTTTTTTCTTGCTTGTGAGGATTGATCTGAAAAAATGTACACTGAAAGCAGACGATGAGGGATTAATTACAATTCCACTATTTACATTTACATTTTTTACAATATTAGTTTCCATCGGGGTTTTAGATAATTCCTTAGTAAGGATAAAAATACAAAAAATTAAAGTTTGCGATAGTAATTTTTTGAACAATTAGTTTATGAATAATCCAGCGGAGGACATCTAGAGAAACAAAATTCAGAACGAAAATGATCAAAATCGCCATTTCTTTTCAATCTGGAACTACCTAAATTTAGAATAGGTGCGATAATCTTATCAGGTAGTGTTGCGTCAAAGGAATTTTCCGAATTTTGTCCGATCAGATAAGAGTGTGAAATTAATTTGTCTTTTAACTGAATACAAGACGAATTTATAATCAAGAGGTTGATTTTGTCTTTGTGAGATTAACCGAGGGAGAGATAGCCACGTCTGGTCTCTTTTTTGCGCACACTTTTCTTTTCTTTGCTCTTACTTCATAAAAATGATTAGAGTCAGGGACTGTGACATTACCTTTAAAAACTTTCGGTGATTTCGAAAAATCAGTTTAAATGGCCATATCGAACTTCCGCACGATTTTCCCGCTAGCAAGTTTCGCGCTGTTAAATTAATAGAGTGCATAGTTTTCTCTCCCAAAGGTCGGTAGTAGGGTTCCCTGTTCTTTCGATTTAATACATTTTGAAAGATATTACCCAATATTAAGCGGTTATGAGGTGAAAGTCTCGTTGTATTTTTCGCTGTGGAATTATTGGTTTGTGTAGGGCTAAGCTTCGAGTCGTATATCTTTTTTCTTCGGAATTACGATTTTTTTGTCTAATGGAGTTTCCAGATATTCGTCCTCCGTTCTGCCATCAGAACCACAAGTTGTGTGCCCTATTCTTTCACATAACTAATTTTCCGTTGTCTAAAAAGCCATTACCATTTTGACTGATCAAGGTCATCCAGAGAGTGTTTGGTGTTCTGTTGAAGTGTTTTTCAAATGTTGTACTCTTTTTCGATTGTTTTGTGCTCCGTAAAGTCTAAACGATTTATGAAACCGTGTCGATAAGTGAAGCTTTGGGAAATTTTGGAGACCTTGATTGTAACATTATTTTAACGGTCTGAACAAATTTTTTTCACAAATCTGTTGGAAAGGTGGTCAGCTACTGTACAAAACCTAATTTTTATATGATTTGAATCGCAAAATGTTTTAAAGGGGGCTCCGGTAAAATACGAGGCGTGGTCGACCCGAAATGATTTTGGGATTGCGTGAAGCTGAATGGAATCGGTAAGAAAATCAATCACTGTTTTGGGCGGAAGTACTTGAGGCAACTTTCATTGATGAAAATTTAGAGAACCTGTCTATATATAGCAGGATATATTTAGAATGACCCCAAGATAGATCTAAATTCCTTGCAAAGTCTAAGTGAATCTCATTCTTCTTTTACAAAATTAAGGTCGCGAGAATGGTAATAAAATTTTTCTGGAATTAAGGGTTTGAAATTTTCACATGTTATTTTACAATCTGAGAAATTCTTCCCGTGGAAGTGTATCATTTTGTTGATATGTGGCCACCAAACATATTCCGAAAGCAATTTCATCCCGAATTGGCCTGGATAGGTTTTGTGGAGAAGTTTTATGACAGCTGTTTTTAGGGCAAATGGTAAACATAACTCGTTGTCCCTGTAAAATAATACGTTAGCAGTCTAAATATTTTGTAAACAACGTAAAACTGATTGAAATAATTGCCTCATTTAGCGATTTGAAATTCTCTTTTCTCCCCTAGAGTTCTTACCATGGGATATAAAATGCTATGTTTTTTGGTAAGCCAAGCAATCAGTATACTATTAAAGAAGCTATTCAATTCCAATGTCTTTCTGGCATTTTTACAGTATCCCGTTTTTTTCTTACTTGTGAGGATTGATCTTAAGACATAGCTTCTTTAGCAAAATTTACACTGAAACCAGATTATGAGGGAGCAATTACAATTCCACTATTTACATCTCTTACAATTTTAGTTTCCATCGGGATTTTAGATAATTCCTTAGTAAGGGTAAAAATATAAAATATTAAGTTTTG